TAAGACTATTCTCAAAATATTTAGAAATAATAAATATAAAAAGCGATTTTTACTTCCTGATTGGTCTGAAATTTGATCCATAGCTGAAATTATAAAAAAAATCTTGATTGCATAAAGATTATCTAACAACAGTGTGGAAACGCTTCCATAAAGTGTAATGCATATTATTACCTATTGCATCGGATATAATATCCATGTGGTCTGAAATAATTAAGAACACATAAATTAATGTTATTGCATTTAATGTTCTATTGTATTACAGAAAGGAAGACGAAATTCAAGGTAGAAAAAACATGTGTACTAATAACTCTGAAGAAGATTTCTCCACTGTATATTCAGTACGATGAGAGTCTCTTTGGAGAACTCAATAGGTATGAAATATTAAAAAAAAAAATTTTATAAAATTTAACAAAATCTATTACCCGGTATAGCGATCAAAAAACAAAGTTTCTCTGAAATTCACATTACATATATTAATGATATTAGATTTGATTATCTGTAATAAATTATTACGTTATATAATTATAAATTAGAAGACAAAGGTCAAAGTAGAAAAAAATTATATTAAATAGACTATGGAACCCTTATGAAATATCATGGCTGAGTTGATACAGTTTATTTTCATAAACTACTATTTAGATTTCGATGAAAAATGTAATAATTATAACACTGTTTATTTGTATACAGATAAACGTGAGATTCAGTTTTTGTATTATTTTCAAATAATTGTTTTCTACTCTTGCCTTGATGTTTTGTATTATTATTATAAAATATATGATTACGGAAATTGTTGAAAAAAAATTCATCGACACTATCAACCATTGACTCAATAATATGCTCCAAACCATCTAGAATAAACAAATGAAGATTTAGGCTATACTAAAATAATAAAATAAAATAAAATTAGGTTCAATACAAATGTTTAGAATAATATTAAACCCGACTTTGAGTAGTAGTCATTTAAGTTCACTCTTCTCCCTCGATTATAGAATTATAAATCGCTAATGCATAATATACTATATTGCTCTGTACACTGTTCTACATATCTGGTGCACCTTTCTTAGCTATTAATAACAACTAAAATGTTTATTTAATAATAACTTGACAATTAGGTACATTCAACAATAATTCTATGTATATTAGTATATTATTTTAACTATAATATCTTACTTATTATAGATGTACCACTTGTTGTTAAATAATTCTTTGAATAAATCTTCTTGATGAGTTCAGCTGAGATATGTAATTTAAAAAATTTGTATAAAAACAGTGTATTTTAAAAACTTAAAAATCATTTGTTTATAATATAAAATTATTACTGACTTGAAGTCAAAAGATCATCCATATAAACCGACTCTGTGAAAAAATGAAACATTATATATTTTAAAATTTTAACTACCTTAAGTTGATAACTGTGAAAATAAAATAATTACCATCATCTGCCAAAACACCCGCAACGAATAGAAAAGTTATCAATAAAGTGAAGAGTTTCATTATTTTCTGCGAATAATAATAAATTAAAAACCATTTTATATTAATCATAGTTGCCTTTTGGGTAGAGACGAAAAGGTAAGGTTAGGTATGATTTTGCAAGGCAGTTTCAATATGATAAATATGTATGTAAACATTTTTTTATCACATCCACATTATTGACCGTTAAACTGATTTTTGTGTTAACAAAGGTAGAAATCTACCTCGAAAGGTACTTTATTTCGCCAGAATTACAGTTATTTCACCATATTGAGGATAGACAAAGTAAGAACAGGTCTGTTAACAATAACTTCAGTTGCATCGTATGAAAAAGTTAAATTATACTATTCAAAATGATAATTAGAAAATTTAGTAATTAACTAAATGTTGTTATTTAAATTCGATTTTATGAAGTGACATACACCTAATTTTCAGGCGTCTAATCTAATATACGTGTAACAATTTGTTTCTAGCGTTTTGTTTTAAAATCGTAAAAAATTAAAACATGCAAAACAATTTTTCTTAATTTTGACATAATTTGTATACTGAATAATGAAAGTTTTTTTTTGAAAATTGACTTTTTCTTCACAGTAGACTGGTTTATTTTAACGATGAACAAAACAATAAAATACATGGATGATAAAAGTATTTTTATGACATATTTTTTTTTTTAGACCTTTTTTCGAATGAGATACGAGTTCTATTTAAAATAATTTTAAAATTGAAAAAATATAAATTGTATGAAAAAGGTACACTACACTATTCAAAACGAAAATTAGAAAAATTAGTATTTAACTAATTATTGTATTAAAAATTCGATTTTATGAAGTAGTGTCACTTCATTTGAAAGTGGTTTTATTCAATTTTATCACTTTTATTTATAATAATTTCTGTAGACCTGTGACCTCTCCGTTTCCTCATTGCTTTGATTACGTTATGCCTATACTCTACTGTACTAGTCCTCTCGGATAAAATTACTTTAAAATTAATGCTTTGATGCTCATTTGTAAATACAGAACCTTCATTAAAACTTTCTAACTTTGCTGGTTTATACTGTGCTTGGTTTGGACTGTACTGGCTTGAAAAGACTAACTACCGATTTGCATCGAAGCGTTTTTTTGAAATTGATTTTATCACTTTCAGATTTAAAAATTCCTATAAAACTGTGACCTCCCCGTCTCCGCTATGCCCCGACCCAACTATGCTCCGTCCCCACTATGCCCCGACCCCAATGTACTGGTTTTTTTTTTTTGCAAAAACGTAGTGGACCAAATAAAACATATACAATGTCTTGTTAATTTTTGTTGGAATGGTCGACGATTCATGTTCCAATCGTTTGTATTCCATAGTTTAAATTATAATCGCTTATTCTCAATAAAATTAATATTTATGTATTATATACTTCCATTAGAGCAATCTCACACAAACTATTTATGCTTCATAGATTATATTATTTCAAAGCTATATCATACTTCTATTTTACTAGATTGACAATGTAAAAAATAAAATGCAACTAAAAAAACCTTTCCATAGATCCTTAAAACGTAAAGGGTGGGATAGTGAAACGGGTATTCCCATTTAAATACATCAGAAAATCGCCGTTTTACTGCCCCACCCTGCATATTAATTTCTTGTTATTTTCTAAAGAAAAATTGATTTTCTTACATTTAAATTAAAATAAATCGTATACTGGTTCTGTGATGGAGAAAACAATAAATTTTACCTGCATATATTATTTATTAGTTAAATATTACTAACGTGTGTAGCCACTAGCGGTTGGCTGTTATTTAACAATAACCTTTTATGGAGATTTTAAAAATTGTGTTTTTTTAATAATAGTATAGGAGCAGTATCATGATGTTAAATGTTCACGAGATTTAATCTAGTCATAAAATAAAGTACTAAAATTATGACTTTTAAATACTTTTAAAATATATCTTAACTTGAACATAGTAATAAAATAATGAAATATTTTATACAAAATTATAAACTAAAAAATTAAAACTAGCACGAAGTAGATTACATATCTTATATAAGATAATTTAAACAATCAAGCGTGAATCTCTTTAAATGAATAACAGTATAACAATATGCAAAACATTAGTTTTCCTTTAAAAAAATTGTGTAATAAAAAATACATTTTGGGGCGGTATACTGCATAAAAACCAACACTTAATCTGAATCCAAAAAACAATAGTGCTCTTCATAATTTGCAGGTAGTTGGACCTTATATACTCATAGTTGACCTTCGGTCGGTAATATAATGCGGGCGATAAAATAACGAGATAACGACAGTGGTTTTGTCGTGTCAGAATCATTAAGTGTCTTACCTCATTTATCTACTATAATCAGTTACATGATTAGTCGTCTGTGATATCATGTAATAAATACAATATTATGATAGCGACCATTGAATCCTAACCTAACATAATACGGCTAGACGTTACCAACAAAAAGTTTTTAGCGTCTGTTCGTTTCTTACATCTCGTACACCGTGTTTTTAGTTAAAAAAAACTGAATTTGTGTAAACTTAAAGTCAAAAGTGGTACTTGAGCACAAAACTTAATAGTATCATTCTGCGTAGATATACATAAAATTGTTTTAATGATTTCATACATTTTTTTTTAAGATTTTAGGTATTGTTGTTAAAATATTCGCAATCTGCGAAAATACAGTTTTCCGGTAATTAAAAAAAAACTGTAGTGCCGAATTTTTTTTCCGTTTAATATGTTATGGATACAGTTCTGTTAGTTTGTGTTTCTGATCATATATTTTTCGGCGAAAATATTTTTTGATAAAAAAAAACGGTTCTGCCGATTTATTTTCGGTTTTTTTACGTGCCCCCCAAATTTCTATAATTCGGGTTTGATTTTGTATTTTTGTTAATTGTTATTTTATAATTATTTTAATTTTATTTTGATGTAAAATAAACTAGTCTACAGTGTAGAAAATATCATTTTTCAAAAAGAAAATTAATATTTACCTTAAAAATTAAACTAGTTTTTGCAAGTTTTTAATTTTGAAATTTCTATTTTGGCGATTAGAGAAAAATATTGAAAATAAAAAACTGTAAACGTGTATTATGCTAAATTTAGTTCCCTGCAAAGTTATATTTTTTTAAACTTTGTACTGTTTAAACTTTTTAAGTTATAATGGAAAATCTTAATCATTTTGCTAAATATTGTATTTTTGACTTGGGGTAGAAAAAATATATATTTTTTTTATCTTGGTTGTATACGCAAGTCTACTTTAGTGAGATGTTATGTAAACGATTTTAAAAACTGCACTTTTTCACTACACATCCTTTAGTACTCTTCAATCCAAATATCATAAAAAACCAAAATCTTTTATAGAATTCTCTCCAAAATGTAGATTGTGTTAAACGATGATTAAGAATCCATAAAAAAAGCAACTAGCCATAAAAAGTCCTTATTACTGTTTTTTCACTTTATAACATTTGACTCATTAGGCTCATGTCATTTTAGTTTTAGCCGTAGTTACAAATTTTAGAGTATAATAGAAATACTTACTTAAATTGTGCAGTTGGTAAGAGGTTCTAGCACAACAATCGACTTTATCAGCCTTTAAAACTAAATGTTCTACCTGCGAATTATCGATGGGCTTATTCTTCAACCAGAAAATCAGAATCCTAATAGGTTTTTGCAGTGTAACTGTGTTCGTTTATTTACACAAATGGATAATTTGCTTAGATTCGGTGCGGAGCTGAGAAGTTATTGTATTTACAATACCTCAATATTATGTGTTTTTTTTTATTTTTGTCTGTACTCACAATATTATAACAGAAATCGTATCCGAAATGTTCTTTATTAGACCAAAATTTAAAAAAAAACACCGCTTCCTCTTCAAAAATCGAGAAACACACCAAAAACAATAACATATTTTTCAACAGAAATCTACAATACTTTATACCATATTAAAAATAGTCTTTATACTTCCAAAATTCTGTGGAATAATCTTTAAACATAATGCTGCCCATAAACACTGATAAACTAAAAAAAGATTATAAACTCGTCCCTCTCGAACGCAAAGAAGGGATAGCAGTTTTAGGGATTTAGGTTTGAAAATTAGAATTGGATTGGACTAAACTGGTTTAAATGTACTATCTACAGATTCGCATAGAAGCCTTTAAATTAAAAGTGATTTCATCAGATATCGTCCCACAGTTTAACATTAATTTAAAATCTATGTGATCAATTTCATAAAAAATATTATCTACTTCCACCATTCTGCATTTTCTACTAATAGTTTTTATTTTATCGTTTTTAGATAAAATAATTCCTGTAGACCTGTGCCTCCGTCCCTACTATGGCCCAATCAATGTACATAATCAATGTACTGGGGTTTTAATTGTTATTTTTTCATAAATATCACAAAACTGCATCACATAGAATTTAAATTCATTTAGGTTAAAATTAGAGTTTAAATAATTATATACAACACAATTTAAAGAGGTGAATGTTTTTGAGGTCATCACGTTACTTTTTCTCTAAAATTTCGTCAAACATAAAAGTTACAGCTTTTCAACACAACCATAAATCAACTTTTTTAATTAATGGTGTATTTATTTATAGTTTACTTTCTAAATAATATATGTATTATTATGCTATAATTGTTAATTGTCGTGGCCATTTCAACACCCAAATTGTTTGTATGAATTTAAAAAATAATATTATACAACAATTGATAAAAATATCTAATATTCACTTGTACTATATAAAATGTATAGCACCCAAAGTATTTCAGGTGTCCCCTTTAAAATATTTTCCTAAAACACTACCTATCAGCTCCTTAATTTGGAGAGAGGGGGAGCTCTTGGAAACTTCAGGCCATTTAAAAACTCTTAGAACTCCTTGAGAATTTTGTCAAATGTAAAAATGTTACCCAGGGCCTTTATGATGTTGATCAAAAGTATAAGAAAATTGAATTTAACATATATTTTTTTTGCTAAAAATTAAATTTAGGTCGAATAGTATTCATTGTTTATTTTGGTTCTGTGTTAAGTTAGCTGTTGTTTTTGTGTTCAAGACTCAGCTATACCGTGCTGTGTACACAATCACCCAATGTTTACACTAGCTATGCTTAACAAAAAAATCCAATAACAAAATACGATGTAGGGATCAGTTGCGATCAACTGTATACACACAATTTTTTTTTATTTTTGTCTGTACTCACAATATCACCCAAGCCACTGAACTGATTTTTTTGTGTAGCAATTTTATAAAGCAGAAATCGTATAACAGAAAAAAATATTAATAAAACACCTCCTTCCCTTTAAAAACCGAGAAACACATCAAACAAAATTTTCATATTTTTCAATATAAAATGACAATGCTTTATACCTTTTTAAAAATAGTCTTTTTAGTTCCAAAATTCTGTGGAATATTCTTTAAACATAATGCTACCAATAAACATTGATAAACCAAAAAAAATATCATTAACTCGTTCCTCTAGAAGGCAAAGAAAGGATAGCAGTTTTAGGGATTTAAGTCTGAAAAATATAATCAGGTTTGCTTAAACTGGTTTGGACCTACTATCGACAGATTTGCATAGAAGCGTTTAATGAAAAGTGAATTTCACACTTAGCATGAACGTAGAACATTTATGTATTTTCAAGGGAGGACGGCTAAAGAAATATCTCTCCCCCAAAATTTTCTTTAGCCGCCCTCCCTTGAAAATATATAAATGTTCTACGTTCATGCTAGGTGTGTATGTGAAAATAAATAGTTATCCAAAACTGGTTATCGACCAGTCAACAATTTTAGTACATTATTTTCAATTTAAAAAGTTAATAAAATATGTACGTGACCTTTTAGGTTTCAAAAATTGCCAGCAAAAAAAGAAAGTTGGGATGAGGTAAAACCAAAAAATAATTGTGAAAAATTGAGATCACATTGTATAAAAAAATATGAAAAAAATAATTTTAATTTCGTATTTAACCCTATAAGATATTGAGTAGTTCACGATAAGTGGATCACCCTGTATATTATATATAGTTTTCGGTTATTTCGATATTTTATTTAAACACAATTAGTAGCCAGAGCAGTATGTTGAGAGTAGATATTACATTTTATGCAATTGTTCACATTGTTTTCATTATTATGTTATATTGTGGTACGATGTCTCACTGATCGGCTAAATCTATATATATATAATAAAGGCAGTAGTGGGGTTGTGGCATAGTTGGGATGGGGAGGTGACAGTGATAAAATCACTTTCAAATAATCAATTCGATTCGAATCTGTGTTTAGTAGGTTCAAACCAAGCATAGTATAAACCAGCACACTAAGAAAGTTGTATAAGTAAATAGTAATAGTAAGTTAATTTCGGGCAGGGGAAAGGCACAAGACATATTTATGTTCCAATATTTTTTCTTCAAGTAAAAGATGGTACTGGTTTTTTTACCTTTCTTTAAGAATTTACTTCGAGTTCTGAATTTAATATAGCAAATTTGCAGTTGGTAGTAGTGTTGTTGCAGACAATAACGATATTATCAATTTAAGTGGAAATAGTCCATATTAATATTAACCATACTGAAAACAAATGATTAAAAAATTTAAATAAGTTTCTTAGATACTTAAATAATTATATGGTAAGTAAACAAATATTAATATACACATATATTAGTTATAATTATACAAGTAAGTAAATAGTAGTGGTAAGTTTGTTAAGGGCAGGGAAAGGGCACAAGAGATATTTATGTTACAATGTGTTTCCTTCAAGGTAAAGATGATACTTGTTTTTTTACTTTTCGTTTTGAATTTACTTCGAGTTCTTAGGCTATCAGATTTAATACATAGACCGGGTTTAATGTAACCGAAGAAAATCCACCTTGACATCATTGGTAGGCCTCTACACCTGTGTATTTTCTAACGGAAACAACTCTAAATTAGTAGAATATTACACATATCTGGGTTTTTTATAAACCTATGTATTTGCACATGGCTGATATGGTTTGAAGTAATTTATTTTTGGTGTTAAGTAAAAACAAGTTTACTTATTAATGCCCTTCAAGAAGCATATTATGATTAGTGTATTAAATTGGATAATTTGGTATAGCTTTTATGAATTGTGTAACTATTAGTATAATAGCATTTGCTGCGTTTTGTTTTTTTTTCAAACCGATAAATTTGTACACAGGGAGCTTCATATTTTTTTTTAGTTTAAAACGAAAACACGATATTATTTGAACAATTCACATGTAAATATTTTTCTGGGTTACAACTTAGATTGTACTTTGACTAAGAGACCTCTGTCCCTCGGAATATACCTTGTTATTTATAAGGTAGATTGATAAATCATTATAACCATACAAGAGCCGCAATTTATTTAGATAACAATTTATTAGGTTGTGTTTTCTGATTTATCAAGCTAGCTTCTAAATAACAAGGCATATTCCGAAGGGCAAAAACCTCTCAATCTAAGTTGTAATACACGAGCAGAAAAATATTTTACACTTGCATTGTTCAAATAATAACTTGTTTTCATGTTCAACTAAAAAAATATGAAGGTTAACTGTGTACGAATTTATCGGTTTGAAAAAAACAAAAAGTAGGAAATATTATACTATCAGCAACACAGTTTGTAAAAGCGATACGAAATTATCCAATTTAATATACTATACATAATATTATGCTTCTTGATGGGGTACTATCAATTAAGCTTGTTAGAACTCAACACCAATAATATATTATTTCAAACCATGTACAAATACATAGTTTTAGAAAAATCCAGATATGTATAATGTTCTGATGGCTAAGGCTTAACTGATTTTGTTCTTGTAAAAAAAAAAAAATTAAAACATGATAAAGTTCATTTATGCTTGTATAAACAGGTACGATTTGCTTAAAACTTCCCAAAAGGCCTAACTCATAACTTCAACATGTTTTTATCACCTTTTTTTTTATCTTTGACTTCTGGAGTTAACTTACAAACGAAAATATTCCCTTCCCCCTAATCTAAAAAATATACAAATTTAAAAGGCTTAAACTCATCCCGATTTTGGAGAATTTATATCTTTACAATAAAATTTAAAACTAAAATTAAAAATGTACTACAAACCATGCATCAAACAAGTATTGAAAAATGTCTATCTGTTTTCAAAATAATTGACATTTTACGCATTTTAGAGTACCAGGTTTTTTTTTTTTTTTTTATTATATTTTAATTGTTTCAACATAATCTTGTTTTTACAATATATTAATTAATAAGTTACATAATTAGGTAGGCATAATAGAGTATTAAAATAATTTATAAATTATTTTAATTTAGCAAATTGTACATAAATGATGAGTTGTTTTAATTAGGTCATTGATCTGATGATTCCGATGATGATTCTGGAGGTAGTAAGATATCTTGTGGGAGACGTGGCTTTAGTCGGCGGTTTTTGGTTCTTTTCCCAATTTTGAAGTGAAGGGCTCCTTCTATTGTGTTTAGTTTCGAATGAAATTTTTTAAATTGTTCATTAATCCATGTGGTTAGGTATGGTATTCTAGTGTCGTTGTGGAGTTGTGTGTTTCGCATATACCATGGGGCTTTAAGAGCTATTCTGAGAAATTTGTTTTGTATCGTTGTTTGTAATTTTTGTTTGGGATGCGGCTGCCCATATTG